CACAAATTTTCATCGTAAAATTCATCGCTAATTTTTCGTCGCAAAATTCGTCGCTAATTTTTCGTCGCAAAATTTGTTGCTAATTTGCCACGAAATTCTTTTTTTTTTTGTTAATAATTTGCGACAAACTGATTCGTGGCAAAATTTGTCGCTATTTTGCCACGAACGTTGTTCGGGGACGAATTTAGCGACGAATTTTTATTAATTCATCGCAAATTAGCAACGAATTATAAAAATAGTTATGAATGTGCAGCAAAAATTTATTACAGGTTGGCCTCCTCACAACTGGCACAATGCAAATTGTATCTAATCCACGGCTGAAACCTGGTATATCTACCACAAACTCAGCCTTGCAGAGTTCCTTCTAACCTCTGATATCAAGTACATGAATATTGGCAACAATAGTACATGCTTTAATATAAATTCTCAGTACAGAGCTGAGCTCTCGAGGGAACCCTGAGCTTCATATCCTCGGCGGCCCACCACACCCTCCTCGAGATCTCCCGCCACCCCTTGTACACCCACACCACCGCGAGCAGCTCCGCCGGCGGCAACCTCCTCAGGACCTCCCACAAGCACCTGGCGGGCAACCGGCCGACGTCCGCATCCCCGTCCACGAAATCCCGATCCCGCTCGTCGAGATCCGGCTCCACCTCGTCGAAGTCCTCCTCCTCCTCGTCGGCGTGGATGTCGAGGTTGTCGAAGGAGAGCACGCGGCGGATGAGAGCGAGGACGGCGTGAGGGCGACAGCGGACGCGGAGGAGGCGGCAGCAGCGGCGGCGTTGATGGGCATGGAGGAGGCCGCGACAGCGGCAGTGGCGGAGGAGTCGGCGACGGGGGAGGGGGAGGAGCCGGCATGGCAGGAGCGGCCCTTCTTGGAGAGGCCGCAGCGGCCGCAGTTGTAGCTGCCGCGCTTCTTGCCGCGCTTGGCGGTGGCGTCGTCGTCGTCAGAGGAGGCGGCGAGGGAGTCGGAGGGGAGGAGGTGGGGCTGGTGGAGGCGGCGAATCATGGCGGAGGAGCGGCAAAGGAGGCTAGAGAGAGAAAGAGGGAGAGAAGTTAGAGAGAGAGGGGGAACGCTGTGGTGGTGGGGGAATAAAAAGAGCGAGCGAAGGGGAGACGATGGCGCGAGGGGGGATAGCGCGCGGGTTCCTGAAAATTTTCGATCCAATGCAAATTTGCGACGGAAAAAAAAATCCGTCGCAAATTTGCAATGGATTTTGCGACGGAAATAAAATCCGTCGCAAATTTTGCGACGGAAAAAAAATTCGTCGCAAATTTGCGACGGAAAAAAAAAAATCCGTCGCAAATTTGCCCCAAAAATAAATTCAAAAATCCGTCGCAAATTTGCGACGGAAAATAAAAATCCGTCGCAAATTTGCGATGGAAATAAAATCCGTCGCAAATTTGCGACGGAAAAAAAATCCGTTGCAAATTTGCCCCAAAAATAAAATCCGACGCAAATTTGCGACGGAAAATAAAAATCCGTCGCAAATTTGCCCCAAAAATAAAATCCGACGCAAATTTGCGACGGAAAAAAAATCCGTCGCAAATTTGCGACGGAAAATAAAAATCCATTGCAAATTTGCGACGGAAATAAAATCCGTCGCAAATTTGCGACGGAAAAAAAATCCGTCGCAAATTTGCCCCAAAAATAAAATCCGACGCAAATTTGCGACGGAAAAAAAATCCGTCGCAAATTTGCGACGGAAAAAAAAATCCGTCAAAAAAATTTGCGACGGATTTTTTTTACGCCGCAAAAATTTGCGACGGATTTTTTTTTTCGTCGTAAATTTGCGACGGATTTTTTTTTCCGTCACAAATTTTTGCAACTGATTTTTTTTTCCGTCGCAAAATTTGAGATGGATTTTTTTTTCCATCGCAGATTTTGTTTCCGTTGCAAATTTGCAACGGAATTAGCGATGGAAATGTTTTTACCGACCAATTTTTCAAATCCGTCGCTAATTCCGTCGAAACCTTGAGTAGATATGCTTCTACACTTTTACATATAATGTGACTAGCATTACGAACACTGTGGAGAAACATGATTGATGTGGATGTCATTGTTACAAACAGACTCGATTGACGCTTTCTCAAATAACAATAGGGCTCTGATACCAAGTCAAGAATGTGATAAAAAAAATTAAGAGCAAAATATATATATATATATATATATATATATATATATATATATATATATATATATATATATCATTGTCAAATGAAGAGTACACGAACCTATTTATCGGTTTTATAGGATGACTATCTAAAAGGGAAAATATCAATTACAATCAATTAAAGGAAATATAGGGAATCTTCTAAATATTTCTCTAATAGAATGCATGCCCTCTATTCACTTAATACATCCACCCGATTCCGATCTATTTGAAAATTGCTATAATTTATTTACCCATATATTTACTCATACATAAGAGCTACGTGCGGAGGAAACCGCCACATTCAACTAAATAGATATCTGCGTTATCTATATCTAAGTCTTGAAAAAAGAAAAGAAAAGATTTGCACCTATCGAATCTAAAAAAGCTTATTTAGGATGAGAACATTTTAAGAGATTATCTAATATCTTGAGTTTATAATAGATCTTCTTATCTAATTTGAATTTGTAAATCTAATCTCTCTTAGAATTGGACGTGTAGCAAATCGTTCAATCTTTTTTGAATTTGAACTTGTGACAATCATCCAATTCGTCTTTACTTTCGTCGCAAAATGGTAAATTTCATCGCACAAATTAGCGACAGAAAATAAATCCGTCGCAAAATTCGTCGCAAATTTACGATGAAAAATTAGTCGTCGCTAATTTGCGACGGAATTAGCGACGAAAATTTTCCGTCGCTAATTTATGACGAATTTTGCGACGGATTTATTTTCCGTTGCAAATTAGCGACGGAATTTTTCCGTCGCAAATTTGCGACGAATTTTTTCGTCGCTAATTTGCGACGGAATTAGAAATCTATCACAAAATTCATCGCAAATTTGCCGTCGCAAATTTCCGTCGCAAAATTCATGTTTTTTTTGTAGTGAGTGGTCGCTCGACTGCTCGTTTGCTTTGCTCATTCCCTTGCTTGACTACAGGTTCCTCTCCCTCTCTCTCTTTCTCCGGTGGATGTGCTTTCGATAGCTTAGATATGTGCATTTCATGGTCTGTAAGATGCGGCGTGTGCGGGTATTGAGATGTTCTAGTCGTTGATTTTGGATTGTTCCAACTGATAATGATGCTTACCCTTCGGTTGGTGAGTAATCGGAAACCTTTTCGGGTTTGAGATTCACACCCATTCTTGTTTGTAACGCATGGGCTTGTTGTCATGGCTCATGCAACTCCTCAATTTCTTCCGCACTTAAGCGCGAAATGCTAAAAAACAAAAATGGGTCATTTACACTACAACTCGTAATCGATCAGGTTGAATTTTTCTTTCCATTTTCCAGTCAATTCCCTATTACATTGCCGACACTGGATCGAGCTTATTACGTTGCTTGTGATGGAGAAAGAGCGTGGAGAGTTTTACTTGAAATGTCTCCTCCTGTAGCCAAAACTCATCTTTGCATTTCTTTGCTCTCTATCGCTCCACACTGTTCCTCTGCTATAAGTTTTTTTTTTTTTGCTAGAAATTCCTCTGCTATAAGTTGGTACTTTGGATTTCTGCGATAAGAAAACCATGGATGTAAGTGATGAATGGTGAGAGATAAGAAAACCATGGATGTAAGAGGAAAATTCACTTTTTTTCCCCTTCTTTTGTTACTTTCATTTTAAAGTTCATCTTTTATAATACAACTCACGAACATGCTTGTTATAATAGGAAAATCTTAAAGTTAGTGCTGTTAGAACAGAAGGCATACATTCGGATCTACAAGTTTTGTTGGGTAGAATGTTCAGAAATATAGTTGCTAGTGGAAGTATCACATGGAATCCTGCACAAGGCTTATATGTTGATGAGGATATTATGGCCACACAAGTTGATATCGATGATTATGCAGGATTTACTTATAAGAATATAGAGTGTAATGTAGGCAGGCTGAGAGACATAAAAGAGCGGCGCGGAGTTTAGTGAGGCAAGCTCAAGGAAAGAAACAAAAAAAATTGACCACACAAGTTGATGTCAATGATTTTGCAAGAATAGATTTGGATCCCAATTTATATACATTAGATTCCTATAATGTAAATGAGGAGGGTAATGCTTCAAATGACGATGCATCATCTAACGTGATGCGTTTACGTGATCAAATAGTCCTAAGTTTAGGAAATAGTTAAGGATGATTGTAATTTTTAAGGATAATAAATTTCTTTCCTTGGCATATGTTACCACATTTATTGTGATGAAGTACACCTCTTTTAGTTGAGATAGGGTCCACTTTGACGTAAATTTTTATCATTTGAATTTGTTTAGCAAAAAAATGAAAATTTAATTTTTTATTTATAAACTCGTTAATACACACCTTTAAAATCATTGTCAATAGTTCAATTAAAATACTTGCATAAATTATTTTTTCAATTTTAAACAAATTAAAAATTAAAAAGCTTAAATTAATCACCCAGCTTTTCAAATATGTTTTTACCAAATGGCTTTTTGTTCAAAGTTGCTTATCAAAACACGTAGTTTTTACATTTTGCCAAAACTTCTTGAGAAAGTTGAATCAAACGCAGCCTCTTCATTCTCTCTTGCGCTCACTCCTTTGCACTCTCACCTCGGTTTGGGTATGAATTTTCCTGAAATGGGTTAAATATTAAAGTGTTTTAGCAATATGAATTAAGTAGGGTATGGGTTACTAAATTTGCATTGCATGGAAAATGAGTAAAAAACGAGTTAAATGGGTTATTTGGGTGTGACCATTTTCGACTTAACCCAAACCAGAACCGATCTAACCCACCCGTTTGACGGATCTACTTGGAAGCAGTTGTACTCTTGAACTCACCATTCTCTTCTATCAACTCGGCCATGCAATTTATGAAACCAGTTGATTTTTTCAATAAGTTGCACTTCCGAACCTTCATCTGAACGTCTCAAGTTGGATCATTCTCTGCAAAATTTCTCTGAAAACACACCTGTCCAGTCTGTTGAAGCTTTACACAACTGTTTCAAAGTAGTCCTAACTACCCTCTGTATCTCAATTTAACTAGAATCTAACTCTGGTCTCTTCTCCACAACCCCAACGCGCCAGCCTTTTCGATTCCGTTTTCTTCGCAAAACAGGACTTATAGCAGCATAAGCCGAGTACAAATCGCTCGAACAATAATAGATCCAGGTGTGCCTATAAACTCCTCTTACTGGTTTCCTTGTTTGCATTTAACTTGGAAATCATGTTGGATTTTCTTCATTTCCGCAATGGCGTCTACAAAGTACTGGTGTGAGAGAAACTGATGAAAGAATATGAATCACTTGTAAATTCTTGTCAAACTTTTGTGTGGTTATAACACATGGAACTGTGAGACTATGTACCTTTTCTGTACAAGGGTGGCTTTTTCTTCCTTTCCCACCATTTCTAAACAAATGTTCACCCTCCCCTAAAAAAATTTAATCACAGCTACTAACTTCTTTACCCTGTATCATCATTATCTGCTCAAACTTTCGTTTATCCCCAAGCCGAAGAAGTATCTTCTGATATGGAGTGGAAACATCCGAGTTTTGGTTGTGATGTTGCGGCTGCAAGGCCCTGAAGCAACTTGATTACTTCGCTAGTGTCGTCGAGATAGTACTTGGCCATGCTTGGCTTCTGCCCGACGGTACATGCGAAAACTTCCGCTGCAGATGTCGAGGGAGTCGAAACCGGGCGCGCGATAGCCTCAAACATATCCTCGTCCGAGCGGTCGTCTCCGATGCACAGCAAGAAGTCGGGCGACTTCCCTCTACTCTGCATGGTTGATATCAGATTCTCAACCACCGTGCCTTTGTTTACGCCCTGCAATTAGCCATGCAGTTGAGCAAGTCTTTCTACTAGGAGTCATTGTTCGAACTACAGATTAGCCATGCAAAATTGGACTTGATGTTGCTACCACTATGAGTCGTTACCATACGCAACACATGTTGCTAATTCCAGATCATGAACCAGTTTTGCATATAGTTAGAGCTATCAACCATCTTTTCACCAGAAAATATGCCGGTAAATTCCAATTCTTATTTGAACACCTAAAAGCTAAGCACAGATCATACCTGCGGTTTCACTTCGACGATGTGTTGACCCCTTTTGACGACCACCGGCTCGTTCGTGAGCACGCTCTCCAGGTGATTGAGAAGCTCCTTCGCCTGGAATGACCCGAATTGGGGATCTGCGTCTTGATGGTGCCAAACCAATGCACTCTCCTTAGTCTCTATGAAAGAGCCATCTGTCGCCTCAATGTACTGCTCCATTACTGGTTCGGCTATCTTTTTCCATTCGAAATCCATCGTCAACCCGCATGTTTCCCATTCTGAATCTGCAGTCCACCTGCAAAGGAACCGCAAAACAGTTTAAGCGACGAAATCAATCACCTCCCATCTAACCCAACAGTTGAGCAAATATTTTAAAGCACTCACCTTTTAATATAACCATGCTCTGCTGCGATACCCAACTTCTCACATGGCGAAAACCACGCTCCCAGAGAATCTTTACCTCTACCACTCACGATGAAAACAACGTTTTCCGGATCCCTGGATAGGCTATTCAGTACCGAAATCACCTCACCGCTAGGCCTTTTGTCTATGGAAGCTTTTGGCAACAGCGTCCCATCATAGTCCAGTAAAATCAACCGGTTCTTCGTGTTTCGATAAGCAGAGGCGATGTGATCCACCGAGAGCTTCCTGAAGCTGGGCCCTAAAGCGACGACCCTGAAGCCCAAACCGAATCCAATTCCCCAGCACCTCTTCTGGTAATGCTCCCTGCAAGCCCTCTCAAGGTCCTGGTCGAAACTCCGAGCCCAGTACTTGACGTCGTGAGAGCTTATGTACTTGTAATGCTTGTCGTGGCGCAGCTGCTTCTCCGAGTCGGAGATCGTGATCGCCGCATTCATGGCATCCGCGACGGAATCTATATCCCACGGATTGACGCGGATGGCCCCGCTCAGCGACGGCGAGCATCCTATGAACTCCGACACGATGATCATGCTGTTTCTCGGAGCGGAGCTCTCATCGATTCCCAGTGCCTTGTCCAAAGCAGGGCTACCCTGTCTGCATACGGTGTACTTATAAGGCTCAAGATTCATGCCATCTCTAACAGCATTCACCACAGCGCATGTGGCGACCGAATAATACGCATCCTTCTCTTGCGTTGCGACCGGCCCCTTAATGTAAACAATCGGCTCGTACCCAGGTCCGCCGTACATTCTGTTGATCTCGTCTGCGATGTGATCAGTCTCGATCTGGACCTGCTGCACATCTTTTCCGCTACTCCTAGCGGGATTGGTGATCTGAACCAAAACCACCTTGCCCCTCAATTCAGGTTGTAGCTCCAGGAGTTGCCCCATCGCCAAGAACTTCAAGCTAATACCTTTGAACATGTCCAAATCGTCCACGCCCACTATGACAGATTTCCCCTCATACTGTTCCTTCAATTCTTTGACCCTCTTAGCTGTCGATTCCATGGACAAAACAGATTGAAGCAGACCCATATGAATCCCGGCTGGCAAAATCTTGATACTCACAGTCCTACCGTAGTAGTCCAACCCAATGTACCCTCTTTTCGACTCGTAATCGAGCCCCAACATCCTACTACAGCACGTCAAGAAATGCCGCGCGTAATCGAATGTGTGGAAGCCGATCAAATCGCAGTTCAACAAGGCCATCAAGATCTCGTCACGCACCGGAATCGTCCTATAAATCTCCGAAGACGGGAAGGGGCTGTGCAAGAAAAAACCTACCTTGATCCTAGCGAACTTCTTCCTCAGAAAAGTAGGCAGTATCATGAGGTGATAGTCGTGTATCCAGACATAATCCTCTTCCGGGTTGATCACTTCCATGATCTTTTCCGCGAAAACCTTGTTGGCAGACACATAAGCCTGCCACTGCAGGCGGTTGAACCGAGCCCCGTGTTTCGGCGACATGGGCAACATGTAGTGAAACAGATGCCAGAGATAGTGCTTGCAAAAGCCATGGTAGAACTTGTGCTGCACATCCGCAGGCAAGAACGTCGGCACGCACCGGAACGTCTCGAACAGCGACTGCGAGACCTCCTCCTGATCGGCGACGTCAATGTCCGCCCCTAGGGAGCCGACGTACACGACCTCCACGTCGGGCCTCAGCCCGTCCTTGAGCTGCCACACCAGCCTGTCCTGGTCCCACTCGAACCTCCACTTCCCGGTCTGCCTGTCCCGGTGGGCCCGCACGGGGAGCTGGTTCGCGACCACGATCCGCCGCTCCGGCAGCGGCGCCGCCGACGACGACGACGACGACGCGGCCTCGTCCGACTCCGACCGCGGCGACGCCTCGCTCCCGAAGTCGGACATCACCCCGGCGGTCGTCATGACCCTGGGAATCCGGCTGACGACCCGGAAGTCGTCCAACGACACCAGGCTCAGCAGGTCCAAGCAAGATCTCGATATCATAACTCCTTCGGGCTTATCCCGGGGGGGACGCAAGAAACGGAGGGCAACCGGATCAAGAAAGGGGGGCCGTATCAAGATTCAAGAACACCCCCACCCCACCCCACCCACCCACCCACCCACCACACCCACGCACCCCACCCCACCCCACCTGAGAAACCAAAGGGGAAAAAGGACGCAAGAAGATGGCGCTCGTGCTGCTTCTGGACACCTCTCTCTCCTCCTCCTCCTCCTTGCCTTTATAAGACGGGTGGTGTGAGAGGAAGGAGGGATGGTGGTGATCCAAGATGGCCAGACAGCTGCCGTATCCGAAGACTCTCTGACTCTCTCTATCTCTATCTCTCTCTCTATATCTAACATATGTAAGGAAAGGAAAAGGGGTGAGGGGGTCAGAGGAAGATGATGCAGATGGGGGTGAAGTAAGGAAGGGAAGGAAGGTGGAGGAGGGACGGAGACGAGGATAAGAACGAAGGAAGAAGGGTCGGACCGAGCGGCGGGATTTCATATGGCGCACGTAAAGGATTTCTAGCGATGGCGGTCCACGTTCATTTCATCTCTCTTCCTTTTCCTTTTGTATTGTTTTTTATTATCTATTATTATTATTTTATTCATTCATTCCATTTTCTCTCCCTCCCTCCCCCTCTCTCTCTCTCTCTCTCTCTCTCTCTCGTTCGAAGTTATCCATTCGGTCTTTCCCATTCGGTCTTAGAATTATAATTATAATTATAATAATTATAATTATTGATATGGTCCTCCTCACTCCCTCTGCCCATCCGCCGCTGTAACCGACTAATATACTAATGATGCGCCCCCCCACCCCCTCCCAATTTTTTTTTTAATTACCCATGAATGGGACCTGTTACAGATGCCGCCGGGAACTCGAAATTACCGAAATACCCTGCGTCGGATATATATATTTTAAATAAGGGTTAACGCGACCAAAAAACCCCAAAACGGATAAACATGCAGCTCTTTATTAATTTTCCATTAAATTTTACTGTCGAATTGCCGAGTTGGATGACGCGTGGCAGTTAACGGGTTTTACCTTCTATTCGTCACATGTGTATCGGTTCATGATTTTTCGTGGTATTGATCTTAACGGAGGATAAATTTATCATGAGTGTACCAGTTTGTGATTTTTTGTTATTAAAAAATTAATTTGAGATGTATCGATTCGGGATTTTTGATGGTATTAACTTTTTTTTTTTTTTTATTGATGACCTCATAAGCCATCTTCGTATCTTGGTTTTTCTTGGTAAATGGCATGTAGATAGCACGGTCAACACACGGAAAAAAAAATATATATATATATATATATATATATATATTCTGGGAAATGGTCTCCGGTAGAGGAGGCCACGTGGCAGGATTAGCTTTTGCGGCTCGTCGTGGGGCCTCGTCTCTTTAATAAAGGAGTGGATGATAGGAGACACGGGGGGGGGGGTGGGGGGAGGATTTCTTCTGCTCCGCTCAGCATCTTCATAGGTTTCCGCGCGAGACCGACACGTGTCGCGACCCGATTCGCTGGACGTGCCGTTCCCTTCCCCCGGGGCCGGGTGATGGGGGGGCCCGCGCGAGCGCGAGGGGGTACGGTAAGGGAGAGCGCCCCCCACGTGGCGCGGGCCCCCGGAGGTGGAAACGTGGCATGTCCGAACCGTTGATTAGTCACGGGGGAGGAGGAGTGGGGGAGGAAGGCGGATGAGCTGGCGGGATACGGCCGCTCCGACCAATCAGCGGGCCCCATGGCGGATGGCGGCGGCGGCGCGGCCGCTTTAAAGGGCCGGGAGACCTCCCCCCCGCCGGTGGTGGTTGCGGCCACCCACCGCCCTATTAGATTTCAACCCCGCAACCGTATCTCCTATCTTCGTGGTCGGGCGACGGCGACGCGTGCAGAAAATACGATTTTTTTTTTATTTCTTAATTACGCTTTTATATAATGGTGTTTTTGTCACGCGTCGATATTAATTCCAATGTTGAGAAACGGTCGCGGATCAAGGAGCCGATAGCGATGAGCGCGACTAAAATTTCCATGAAGTCCCGTGTGATTGTGGGGGAAAAGATAGTTGTTGCATCTTTATCTGCTTTCCACTGTTTTCGTCGCCCCCTCCCCTCCCCCCTTGGCAAATTGTAAAATGCCAAAATTTGTGGGGTTAGGCACCGCCTAGCAACTAGGCGGACCCAGTCAATGGCGGAAAAATTAATTACACAAAGTGAATCGCGTGATATGTTCCAAGAAACTTTGGTATTTGTCAAGCTATTGATCCTGTTCTAATCTGGGAATCAGTCCGAACCGGTCGTTTTAGGCGGTTCTCGCGGGAACCGATCCGGTTCTCGGTTCTGAATAGTGGAACTTGCGGTTCTCGGTTTCGCGTGTGGAACTAAACCGCCCGGACCGGCCTAGACCAGATCGATATGTTTTTTTATATAATTATTTTTCGCGTAAAGAGTAAAAATGGTTGGGTTGCATTTCTTTGTGAAATAGAGTATTACAAATTTGTTTTCCATATATATCCATTTTTTTTTTATAAATTTAACATGTGTTGATACGATGTCATGTAATAGAGTAATGACTACAAGATCAAGTGGATAGTGCCGCACCCCCGATCACGTAATCATTTACATAACGAACAAACAAAAATAATGTTTCTTTTTCTTTTTCTCTTAATGTTGGGAAACTCCCACTTGTAGCTCTTTAAACCGAGAAGATGCATATGGAAGAGAAACAAGAATCGACGCAGAAAAGAACAAAATGGAAGGTGAAACCTTCTGAATTCATCGGAACATAACGCGGGTACAATGGCTCTAGTAGATGAATGCGAGCAAAAGGCAAAACCAAACTTTTGAAGTTCGAGATGCGGTGAAAAGAAGGAATCAAAACAAAAAAAAAGGGATTATCTCGGTTCCGATTTCAAGATCAGCTAGGCCGGTTTCCAATTCCACAAACTGGGAGGAATCGATCCCGCTCGATCTGGTTCTAGATTCTAGGATAGGAACTGATCCGCCTTCGGAACCGATCACCCCTAATTCTATCTTTTTATCTTGTGGCCGTCGGTATCTCTCTCGATCATTCAATGCTCCGAAAAGTAAATCGAAATCAAACAATAAAAAGCTGCACGCACTGAATCCACGCGATAACGAGTCCAAATCGGAGGGAGGGACCGGCAGGGCGTCGCGGTCGATCAACTTTTTTAGGGCATCGACAGGCGGGTGGATGGGTGAATGGATGGGTGGATGGCAACCGGGAGTGGGGGGCGGGACTTAGGGACGAGCTCGAGAGGACGACTCGGTTTTATCCAGAACGAACGACGATGTCGACGTGCGATATGCAATGGGGATGGTGCCCCACTTTATCTACTTTCTATCTACTCTTTCTTTGTCGTTTTTTGGTCGTAGGCTCGAGCTTCGCAATAGGGCAACGTGGGCGGCATCGTCTCCTTTGCCCAACTTCCTTTAATAATGCGCGAGTAAAGTTCGGTGTGTTAGGGAGTACGTATCCATCGTCTCGGTCACGAGACCCTTCTTCTTTACATTCCCTATACGGTGAGACCTTTTGCGGGTCTCTCGAGGAGCTCGAGAGACGGATCGGGTCGACGTGGTTGGTCGGGTTGGATAAAGTTTACCCTCGTTTGATTTGGAATCGAACTGGTCCACGAGTTCGAATCCTCCGGTGGCTTTTCGGTCTCAGGAAATCCGGATTTGCCTATGGTGTAGGTTCGACTTACGTCCTGTGGTGCAGGTCAACGACGCCGGTCGACCCTTTTCGCAGTTTCTACTATTGACAAGCAAACAGTTATGTAGAGATTGGATCACCAAGGTAATTGCCCCTAGTGATTCAAGAATTACTTTCAAGTGATTTCGAGATTGTCTTGATCGCAAATTCGAATCTTAGCTGCTAACCTAGTCTAAAGTGAAACTCCGACTTTAAATGCATTAGCTTCATGACATGACTATGTGACAAGTTGGCCATCTATTGCACGAGTCGCCGATAATTTTTTCACTGTTTGAACGATCGTTTTATGGTAATGCCCAGTGAGAGTCGCCAACTTCGCTCTCATCTTCCGGCCCTTTTTGGGTGTGCAAAAAAAATATACATATACTAAAGAGATTAGAGCAAGCTTGATTAGTCCCCCGAGTCTGGTCGGCACGCCACGAAGTTCAACACGGACCGATTTAAATAAGCAAGATTTCCTTCTTTGTTTCCGACAAAAACACCTCCTCCCACTAGGACAAACCCACTCTACTCGATCAATCTCAATGAGAAAAAAATTAAAATATTTTCCGATGGTGGGCAAGAAGTCTTTCGGCATCAAACTGATTTCGTTCATATGATCAAAGCCATACCTTATAAACCCAACATCATGGACGCATTCGATCACTCATAAATTCTCAAAAATTAAAAATAAAACTCGAAAATAAAAAAAAATTCAAACATATTAGAGGCTTTTGCTCCAACATAGAAAGAGAGGGAATATCGTTCTTTAAAATCATATCTAGGAAAAAAAATAACATAAAAAAAAGGATACGATTTGTGCAGAAATTAGTCGTCACCGGACACATCTAATTACAAGAAATGATCAATAAGGTACGTGAACGGAAAAAAAAAAGGGCACACGCAAAATGTTTCATGATCCACCGTCAAGAAACCTAGGAACACCCCCCTTTTTCACCACGGCAATTCCAACCCGCCTATTGTAACGTACACTAATGATAAGATGGGAACCTATAGCATGCCCTCTAAGCCAACCGCCTTAATGCTATAAGTTTGAAAAATGCAATTTCCTAGAAGCGATATTTATTAGGAACATTTAGTGTTCCAGTTAGGGTAGGAGCTACTTAGGTTCTAGGCCGCATGTGATATGAAGTGATTGGGGTCGTATATCATAAAGTCAAAATAGCACATATGCTCAAATATAGGATGGATAGTGTGAGTGCCCTCGTACGCCCTCAAATCCAATCCTTTTCCTCAGAGGATATTACATGTGTCAAGGGAAAAGTATAAAAAAAAAAATTCATAAGTCTTTTGCATTGGTATTAATATAGTTCTAAATCTTTTCAATTGGATCAAT